TTGGGTAAATAATTATTGAGTGTTTACTATGTGCTGGGTCCAGTGCTGGGGGCTGAGGATGGAGCAGTGATTGACAATGCATTTCCTGCTCTTCATCTAAAGCTTCAAATCTAATGCTGTATTCTTTCCCCAAAACGTTCTTCAAAGTTGTCATAGCATCATCTTTCAATCAAAATAGCTGATGAGGGAAATAAGTGAGGAAAGGTGCTCTTCTCCTGGGTAATATATTTCACTCATGGTATCGGATCCACCTCCAGCTGCATTACACACACGTTAAAAAGAAAGTCCCAATGTAAATGTGGTAGTGACATTTCGGTCTTATAATGTTTCCTTTGAAGAAAAAAAAATTAAACCCACATTGAAAAAGAGGAAAAAAGTTAGGACTTGTTACTAATCTCGCAGTTGAATAATTAAGTGTGCTTAAATCTGAAAGTAGCAAGCTAAATTATGCAGTGCCAAAAGTGACAACTCTTATACCTACACCATCCCATCTACAGCGGCATGGTTTTAGCTGTATAGCTGAAATATGCTGCCAGAAAACCTAATAAAAGGAAGCAAAAAATATTTCTGTTTATATCAAGTGCCATTTGAGAAAGACTCTCAAATATGTTCTTCCCTACGTGTAAATCTGACAGCAGTTGCATAATTAAAACCCCAGTGGAGAGTTTCCTTTTAATCTTTTCAAAGTAAACCAGTAAAACATCCTTCAGGATATCAAATGATAGATTAATACTCTTCGGATTGCTTAAATATCTTTGAGCTAGAGCATTGCCTCGAAGAATATTGCTTAGTACTAAAAGACCACTAGCTGCAATTTTTATTTTTAGGAGTTCACGGGGATGTAGATAACGACATGCCCAATGGCCACACGTGCATATATGATGAGTTATGCTTGTCTTGGATTTTGTTAAATGGAGAGATAAATAAATGAATACATTCACAGGAAAATAAACTTGATTTCAACCCCTTGGGGATATGTCACATAGCATAAGTGGGAGAAATAATAATTACTCAGGATTTTAGTTCGGTGTGAGCAATCAATATGAATAATTTAGACCACAAGGTGGATTTTTATTTTGCTTGAGCTATTCAGGTTGACTTTCTATACAGCCTTAGCTACTGCTGAACAATCACTGGCAATTTTCTCACTGGGTCTGCACTATGTGGACACATATGTGTGTCTACACAGTTGCAAACTACCTAGCTCTAGATATGGGACCCTGTTCAAGCCAAATGTCAGGGCAAATATTGCATCTCATCATGATGTTCCACCTCACCCTCAGTACAGACACACCTGAACTTTTCTTCTACGTCTCCCTCTAGCTGAAGGCCCATTCCTGTCCTTTCTCCCCACCCCCTACACACACACATGCAAAAGAAGGCTGAATGAAAGCAAGTGGCTTCTGTCCTTGGACCAGAGTTGACCAGAATGTCTCCCACTTGTTAGCATTCTTGCCTCTGACCTGCTTTGGTTGGATCTTGCTTTTCCAGATGTCTATGACCTGCCAGATGCTTTTAGTTAATATAACCTCTAAGATAAGACTGTTCCTTCAGGTTTTCTCTGGACTTAAATCAGTTGTTGGCCTGATCAACAGATCAGTCTTTCTGCTCAGCCCTGCCCTAATATAATATCTCCCCTCCCCTCCCCTCTTCTCTCTCTCTCTCTCTCTCTCTCTCTCTCTCACACACACACACACACACACACACACACACACACACACATCCATTATTAAACACTTCAGTCTCAAATAAGAATGTGCCTTTCATGCTATTATATGCATGAAATCTGTAGAACAAACATTACCTAACTTGGATTCTACACCCAGCTAAACACATAATTAACTGTGCGTTGAAATAAGTCTCTTAACACTGCGCCACATGGGATTGGACCAAAGGTTCCCTCCTTGTTCTAATCATCTTTAGTAGGGATAGCCAAGATATGCCACCAACGGCCCATACTGGAATATGCTTTAACCTTCGTCTTGTACAATAAACTTTAACTTTTCAAAATATAGCACCAGACCTGAAATGCACAATATATCATATTTGTGGAATGAATGAAGGAAGGGTTTCTATACTAAACTCTAGATAAATCACTTAGCTGGGTCTACACAGTACACACACAGAAAAATGTCCACACTGTTGCATGGACCATTCACACTGACATTTACTGATCAAATAAAACTGAGTGCATGCTAATTTCCCTCTTCACTGGATAAGGTAGCAGATAGAGAGTCCTGACTGCCCATTTTGGACTCTTTGGCTCCCTGAGCTGCTGAATCCATAAAAGCTGAACCCAGTAATAATGATAATTGTCTCTGAAGACTCAGGGCATTTAAGGGGAAGGCACTATATAAGCAGAAGGGAAAGTGACATAAGTAGGTCTTTACTTAAATCTCATCCAAGTACATTTTGCAAGACAAGGCTGAAACGACAACCGTGCTATTTTGGAATTCAGCAGAACTTATCTGACCAATTTGAACCACTACCCCAGGCCACGACAGCCAGTGGATAACTGACAGACCCTGCACTTGTGCTACTATCTTGATACCTCTGCAAAAGGCTGTTCAATGCTGAGCTGTCCACAGGCTAGTTCTGGTCTCTTGAGTGCAGCTCCCTAAGAGATGAACGTTTTCCTGTAGCAGATTTTGGAAACAATGTGCTGGGTCATTGGTAACAGCCACAATCTCCAGCCCTCCTATACCGCTTTCCTACATCCAAAAAAACACAAATCAAGAAAAAGAACATAGTTCCTTTCCACTTGACTAAAGAACAGTCATTCCTGCCAGTAGATTAAAGGCTGAAGCTTGGAATAATTTGCCAACACACTGACTTGATTTTGTGCAAAGAGCTGAGGGAAGCTTTAGAAGCTGTGCCTGGGCAGTGAATGAAGAAACTGATGGAAGTTCATCAGAGAGACAAAGAGACCATAGGTCACTGGAATGGGGCTCCATCTGGATAAACGCACAGCCCGTAGGGGAAGAGGACACTGCTTTCCCTTTAGTCTTTGGGTTCCAGGAACCCAAAGCCAGAGCATGTCATTGGGAGAGAAATGCTGTGGCTGCCCAATATGTGCACAGGTGTGCCTCTAGGTGGAAGAGAGCAAAAGGGTGTTTACAAGAGGAAGAGTACAAATCAATAATGAGCTATGAACACATGATGTCATCTTCCAGGACTAAGCATCCTTAGTACTTTTAAAGCACTTTAAAAAAAAATACTCTGGTTGCTATAGCAACTTGATGCAGCCCTTAAAGGGGGATTTTTTGAAGGGGTCATTTTATATCTTCAATCACCATAACAACATGATATAGCTTTTAAAAGGTATTTTTATCCAATTTGTGTGTGTTTTAGAATTGGGCCATATTTGCCTTTTTTATTTAAAGTAATCAGATAAAGCATGACACATGAAAAATCACTGAAGGCAAGGAAGCTCTTTAGTAGACTATACATATACACTCATAGAGACATCTCTAGCTGCTCATATGCTGCACAGGGATGCAGTCTTTCTGCCTCCCAGCAGCCATCAGTGATGGCTTCCGCTGGTCAGTTAGTTCATGCTCCTGCCTCTAAGCTGGCATATCAAGCCTGCCAAGAACCCACCCAAGAGAAGTTGTGTCTATGAAATCCCTCACTTCTCAGCCCAGTGAATCCCGCGCCTTCCTCCAAAACTACCACCAGGACACAGTGCCTTGGGGTGACTAGAGGTCCCACCAGCCAAGTGCCTTCTCCTACCCTGGGACTCCAAGCAGGAGTGGATGGGACACACATAAAATCTTGCCAAAGTGAAAGTCTTGTGTTTATTATACACTGTACAGTAACTGGGAAGGTCTGTTTCATGTGACACCCAGAACCCAGGGAAAGAGGAGGGGATGGGGAAAGTAGGTGAGAGGACAAGAAGAGAGGGTAGATGTGGCTGTGGAATGTGGAGCAGTGGTGGCTCCAAGGTCTCTACAGAAGAAGCTCTGAGGAGGGGTGAAAGTGGGAGAAGGTGTGTGTGTGGGGGGGAAGGCTTCAGGGAGTATTTACAAAGCATTTTTGAGGTTGTGAAGCCATGAACTGTTTATGCCAAAAAATAGGAAGAAGGGATGATGGAGAGAATAGTGAAACTACCTTCCCCTCACCCTACCCCCCACCCCAGCTACCCCTTGGTGCTACTCTTGGTTGGAAAGAACGGTAAGGTAACAAAGACGAGAGGTCCAGAAATTGAAGGCGAATATGGGAGGGAGCGAGGAAAAGGGGGTAGAAAACCAAGGCGGGGGGCGGGGGTGGGGGGGGTTCCAAAACAAGAGTGGCGGAAGTCCTGGCCTCCAAGTCTCACGAGCTTTTCTTCGAGGGGGCGGGGCGGTGTAGACCTTAGGAAAAGCGTGTGGACAGGAGATCCCGGAAAGAGATTTTGGGGGAAGTGGTCGTACTTCCCTGGGGAAAAGGGCTAGAGGTTTCTGAGGGGAGAACGCATGGAAAAAGGGGGGTGGGGGGATTGGGAGAGCGAGAAAGAGAGAGAAGGGGAGATGCAAATGCTGTGGGTGGAGGTGAAGAGGGAAGGGGCTTTCCAAATCATTTGTATGAGGAAACGGAGACCCAAGGGGTGTGAGCAATAGGAAAGCAGCAGCAGGCCTTTGGCACATGTGCTCACAAGGCGAGAAAACTAAGGCGCGCAGAGGTTCGGAGCTGACAAGTGCTGGAGCGCGGGCGACCCCCGGGTCTGCCCAGTGCCTGCATGAGGGTTCTCCCCATTTGGTCGCACAGCCAGGCGAGTCACCGCTGGGTGAGCGCCAGGGATGGGCCTTTCACGCCACCTTCCGCGTCGAAATCCAGTTAAGAGAGAGAAGGGCAGGGGGAGGGGGACGGGCGGAGAGGTGAGGGTGAGACTAAAGTAGGCAATGGGGCATTAGAAGAGAAGGGGGCGCCAAGGGACGCGGACCCAGGCGCCAAGCAGCAGAAAGGGTGGCAGGGCAGGTGAAAGGCGCGGAGAGGAAACGCGCGCGGGGCGCGCCGCTCACCTATGGTTGATACCACGGTGCCCACGAAGTAGAAGGCGCCAGGGAAGTCCCAGCGCGGGCGCAGCGCGTCGGCCCGGACGCCGGCCGCCAGCGCGGCCTCGTAGTGCCGGAGGAAGGCGCGCAGCTCCGGCTCGGCTACGCCGTGCGCCGCGCTGAAGTTGCGCAGCGTGGCGCCCCAGCGCGCCCGCGCCTCCGCCTCGCCCGGGCTCTCCAGCGCGGAGAAGACGGTGGCGCCCGCCACCAGGTAGAGGCCGATGAGCGCCGCCAGCAGCACGAAGCGGCCCGTGTCCTCGTTGAGGTGCGAGCGGCGACAGCAGCAGCAGCAGCAGGAGGGGCGCGGCAGGCGGCGGCGGCAGCGGCGGGGCGGGGGCCGAGGGCTGCGGGAGGACATGGTCCGGAGCTCAGCCCCGGGGCCGGGGCGGCGCTCGTGGCCCGGGCCGCGACATCCCCCCCACGGGAGCAGAAGCGTGAGGATGGTGGCCAGTGGTCAGGGGGCGCCGCGGAGCCCCTCACCGCCTCCCCAGAGCCCGGACGGCCGGGCGCCTCCGCCTCCTCCTCGGCGCTCAGGCCGCACACGGGTCCCGCGGCCCTTCCAGCGCCCGGGCTGAGGCGCTCCTCTCCCCGCCCCGACGCCTCGCGGGCTCCCGCGTCTCCTCACCCGCCGCCCTCGGGCGCGGGGGTCTGATGCTAGGCCCCTGCCTCCCTGTGGCCGGCGTCCGCGGGGCCGCGGGCCTCATACTCCTCTCCAGACAGGCCGCGGGCTGCGGGCGGGGCGGGCTGTGGAGCCCGGGCGCCTAGGACTGGGACGCGGCAGCAAAGCACAAAGAGAGGTTCCGGGGGCGTCCCATGAGGCGCTCCCGGCTCGGCGGCTCCCGGGCTCCGGCTGCACAGGCAGTCCAGCTCCTGCCCCGGGGCCTGAGTTAGCGGCGTCGGCTTCGGAGCCTCAGAACCCAGCAGAGTCAGGGGAAGCGCTCCCTTTCCATCTCTAGCCGGAGAGCCGCCCGGCACGGGGAGGCGGAGTCACTGGCGCCCGGGGCGGGGTGTTGGGGTGGGGGGGTGTAAGGAAGGGAGGGAAGAAGTGGGGAGTTGGACTGCTGCGACTCCTCCGGGTCGTTCTGGCGGCGCTAATGCGGGGCACCGAAGCAGGTGTCCGGATTGCGGTGCTGGCTACCACCCCGCTGGGGAACCCCGTTCGGCCGCTCCCTGCGCTTCAGCTCCAGAATCTCTCCCTTATCTGCAAGCTGCCGCCAAACTTTGCTCAACTTGACGGTGCCCTGCGGTCGCAGGGGCTGGGGGCTGCACGACACGAGTCCACCGACACGGGGTTTCTCTGGCTCTAGTCTGAAGTTTAAGTTCCCTCTTGCTCGCTTCTTCCTGGATCCATCCGCAGCGCCAGGTCTCAGAGGGTTCCTTTGGGAAAATGATCCCGCTTGGAAAGAAGTGGGGGTGGGGTCACTCGGCTCAGGCGGACAGCGTCAGCACCGCGGACAGCGCATCTGTGCCGCAGCCGCGGGGCGGGAGGCTCTAGGGCTGCGGAAGCCCGCGGCGCTGGGCGAGGCCGGTCACCCTGCTGCGCTATGCTCCCCAAACGCTGTTTCCCTTTCTATGTGATGTGTGTCTCCCCAGTCAGAGGCAGGTGGGGTCGCTGAAGCAGCGTTCTGACAGGGCAGGGATGCTGCAGAATGGAGACAGGAGCTGAGTCAAGAGCAAGTAAGGGACCAAGGTACCACCAGAGGAGGAAGCGTTTAGATCCATCTTCTGCTTGGATCTTCTCTGGCCACTCTAGCTCCCTGACATCTCCAGCCTAGGGTTGGGGAGCCTGGATAAGAACCTGGCTGCGGCAGGGTGGGTAGAGGAGATGTAGGGGGAGCTCACTAGCTGACTCTCCTCCACCCAGGCTGGCCGTGGGGAAGGTAGGGTGCTCTTGAGCGCTGGGGGCAATTGTCACCCCCTCTGCCCTTCCGCGACAGGTAAACACCAAGGATGCTCTGCGCTGTCGCGGGACCTTCTCTGCCAGTGGGTCGCAGGCCGGCTTAGCCTGGGCCACAAAGTTCTGTAATGAGGAACGCCCTTGGTACAGGAGGAAAACCGACCTCTTTGGACAGCTAGCCCTTTCTCTCTGTCCGTTCCCCTTCCACAAGAGAGGGGGACCCTGATGATGATGAGTTGCCATAGATGACAGAAAATAAAAGATAATGTGACTGTGCTTAGGTACTCCAGGTGGGTGAACTGTGGCAAAATGCAGACCTGGCCCTCCACCCTAAATACCTGGCTGTCTGCCTTCCACCATAGAAAACACTAAAACTAAGGTTGACCCAAAGTGGTGGCAGCAGCGTCAGTCCCCTAAGGGTCAGGGTGCTCAAAGTGGTCCCTGAATGAGCCTCCACCACTCACTGAGTATTTGGTGGCCTGGAAACCAGTGGCCTCTGACCACATGCCCTAGGTGGAGACTGGGTGTGGGGGAGGGGCACGGAGAGCTGTTGGAAAGCTGAAAGGCATCTGACTTGGGACAATGATTTTCCCAAACCAAGGTACACTGGAGTCTTGAATCATCCTGGAAATGCTTCTCCAGTTTGTAGATGGGAGGGGACAGATGGGGAAAGACTTCACCACCACCACAGTTAGAACTCGGCTTCTTGGCACTGAGTAGCATGTGGTGAGTTTTGCAGTGATCTTTTAAGAAAGAGGCAGGAGAATCTTTGTGTGTGTGTGTAAGAACATTTCATCCAGGAGAAAGGGGAGCCCCGTCCTCCTTTTTTTCCAGAACTTGTTGGGAGCCTTATACAGACACAAATTATTACCATTGCAGACTATTGTTACTATTGGCAAAATGCCCTTCAACTGCTTTCTCTCTCTCTCTCCAAGACTTTGCCTACTCTGGGCTCTTTACTGGTATCACCCCAGTCTGTCCCCCATCCCTACAATACCCCATCTCTACAAGCTCCTGCAGGCAGGGAGAATTGTCCAACCATGGACCTCTGGGGCTGGATTCCACTTGGGTGGTCAGCTCCGACAGAAGCCCTGAGAAGTGTTGTTCCAGGAGTTGGCTCTGGAGTCTCCAGATGCAGCTGAAGGGCATTGACAGACCTCTCGGTGGCTTTCTTTGCTCAGACTTCCGGGGCAGGGACAGAGTGCTTCACTGCAGTGTTCCATGCCTCTGGACCAGCTCCTTGCCCAGTTGGCAGAGGGCCTACCTTGTCTTCCAGCTTGTTATTCTAGCTTGATTAGCAGTGAACCCCTGGCATCAATCTCCACTCTGAATGACCTAATCAATTTATATAATAGCAAAATGATGAGTTCCCTGCACTGGGCACAGGTTCTTTGGGGAACTAGCCCCATGATGAATGCCAATTTCGCCCACTGAATCAACATTTAAGTCACTGACTTCTAGCTGGCTATCCTCAAAGACTTTACCTCAGCCCTGAATTGCTACTACAGTTTCCTAAGGATGGGGCTTGCTATCTCAGGTGTATCCCCACTTAGGTCCACCCTGCCTGCACCTTTCAGTCATTGTTGTAATCATGCCCAATTGATCTGATTATATGACTCATGTCCCTAGACCACAGTCTCCAATGGCTCCCCCAAAGCTGTTAAGATTTAGTGCCATCTTTCTCCTCCTCTCTAGGTTTTCAAATGTATAGCTCAACTCACGTTAGACCTTTTATTCAGTAATAATAATTTTTATTATTATTTTCCTTTATAGGATATTTTCCTTTATAGGATATTTTGACTCAATTACTTTGATGCCTTCATTCCAACTTGAAGATCATTTGATTCTGCTATGCTCTTAAGAACTTCAGACAAGACACTTGGACTGGCCGAGTTGCTCAGTTGGTTAAGACTTGGCTTAAGAGCATGAACTCTGAGAAACAGGGCTGCTGGTTTGATTCCCACATGAGCCAATGATGCTGTGCCCGAGCTGAGCTATCGCTGAACTGCCAACAGGTGGCAGGATGGCTCAGCTGGTGTAACAACAAGATTGTATGTTCGATGGTGCGCTATGCCCCCCACAACTAAGACTAACTCAGCACCTTGAGCTGAGCTGCCGCCCAGATGGTTCAGTGGATAGAGCATGCGCTCTTAACAAACAAGGCTGCTGGTTCAACCCCTGCATGGGATGGTGGCTACGCCCACCCACAACTAAGATTGAACACAGCACCTTGAGCTTAGAGGCCACGAGCTGCCAA